GCAAGGATTCTTGGCAGGTTTACAGTTCGTAGATGCATTAGCTGGCTTTTCACCACAGTAAACCACTGCAGCATTTACTGTGTAACAAAATATAATTCATTCAGCATATCTTTAGTGTAATGAAACATTTGGCAGATTTAAAGTCAATGTTAAATAATTCAGGTGTAAATAATTGTAATTTACAGCAATATCCATTTCATTATTATAACTTGCTGAGGAATACTTTCCACTTGCTTGGTATTATTTTCATTATATCACTAAATCATGCCAAAAAAAAAAATACATTAGACCACATGCTCTATTCAAAGCATATATCTAATAGAACACAACCCTGGACTTGCATTTATTATACGCAAAATTATTAAAATATATCTTGTTGATACATATACACATCGCTGTCATTTATGCAAGCACATACATTACAAATAGAGCAAATACAGAATTAGAAAAATAAAAATGGGATCAGAACGTGTCTCTTGAAAACACATTCTGACTCCATTGTCATGTTACACCACCATAGAAATAACAACAAAATACACAATACCTTTGGCGACTTGTTCTGGTTTGTACCATCCATCCCAATTACCACGGTAACATTCACCCATTATGATTTTATACTTGCCCACCCTCAGTGCTGCTATTTGTAAAATTGGATCAATATTATGAAGAATTTCAGTCCTTGGTGATACTGAGCCTCTGAAATGGGGGAAATCAGAAACTGCATGCATGAATTCAAATGCATGAAATGTATTAATCAATTTTTGGGTAAAATCGATCTACCCAGGAATTTGCAGGAATACAATAAATCTTTTTATTAGTTGAGAGGTTTGATCGTTGATTGTTGTTGAGGTCGATATGAAACACATTTCTGCGATGGAAACAAATATTACATGATAAAAGTTATCTGATTATTCTTACCAATCGTCGTGAATTTAGGATTTATAAAGGCCATTAATTTGAGTAATATACAATGTAAGTTAAAACAGTTACCTTGATAGTGTATCCCAGACATTGAATCCATCTAAGTTGGTTGGTAAACTAGATACATTACCCCCAGCAATATGGTATATAGTAGGCAACCAATCACAGACATGAATCATATCAGTAGAAACCCGTCCAGGTTTTTCCAACAACGGACTATGAACGAATCCATCACCTCTGACTCCACCTTCCCAGAGAGTGGCTTTGATTCCTCGTAATGGCCAATTTGAAGCGTGATTGTTGTTGAATCCAGCAGCAGGACCACCGTTGTCTGTTGTGAAGATTATGATGGTGTTGTTGTACATTCCGGAGTCTTTTAATACTTTAGTCAGGTTACCAACAGACTCATCTAACGCAGAGACCATACCTGTGAGATATTACAGACATATTAGTATAAATAC